CATTTTTATTTTCAATGGTATGGTTGGTTCATATTCCTGGAAACTGAAATTCATAACATTTAATACTTTCCATTTCTCTCCATCCCATTGCCAGCATTACTTCTTATAGGAAGCATTTTCTGACCCCCAAGGTCAACTTAGGTCTCACTTGTCGGTAGCTCTGTAGCATTCTGTACTTTCAGCGCACTTGTCTGGATTGATCTTGCCTAGTTGTCTCTAGACCGTGGTTTCGTTGTTGGTAAGGACCACGCCTGCGTCAGGCTTGGAACCCAGGAGGTACCTGCTTTGTGGTCAGGCCCCCAGCACCTCTCGCCTGGGTTGCTGCCCCAGTCCTCTGACTAGATTCGGGCTCTGTCTTGTTCTTCTCCAGGCTTTTTGCCACACTGAGACCAGATTGCTGTTTGTGTCATATGCAGCTGATCATTTTCATTAGTCTGCATTGCCTGCAGCAATTCAGAATGGCTCTTGTGGCTTAGTCCTTGGTTATTCTACAACCCACCCTCTGTCATTACTTAACACTAGGTTTTAGCCAGTCAGAATTGCTTTTTCTTCAAAAGTGCCGTTTTTTTCTTTCTTTAAGGTTTTAAGAACGTGCTGTTATTCTTTCTACATTGAACCTTTTTACCCCGTTCCCCCACCCAAAAAAGAAAATTTAGCTAATTTTTGAACATCTTTAGGTCTAAGACTACACATATTACTTTTTCAAGGACGACTTTGATCCTTCATTGGGAGAGGGGTTTGAATTCTTTATGTAGATTTAGTACTCTGTATTTCAAAATATGTACCAGTTATTTATTGTCTGAATTCCTCACTGTATTACAAGCTAGCAAGGGCTGATGAAGATTATTTATTTTTTTTGAGACAGTGTCTCACTTTATAAACCTTGGTAGAGGGCCTTGGCATCATAACTGACAGTAACCTCAAACTCTTGGGCTTAAGTGATTCTCCTCAGCCTTCCAAGTAGCTGGGACTATAAGGTGTCTGCCACAATGCCTGGCTAGTTTTTTTTAAAGATGAGGTCTTGCTCTGGTTCAAGTTGGTCTCCAACCCATGAGCTCAGGCATTTCCACCCGTCTTGGCCACCCAAGTGCTAGGATTATAGGTAGGAGCCTCTAGACGTGGCCCCCTAATCAGGATTATTAACACTAATTTACATCTTCTTCTTCCAGCATAATTCTGAGACATAATATGCATACAATAAAAACATTAGATGAATGTGAATTTAGGTATTATTTCCTGCAAGTTATAGGGTGTACGTTAAGCATAGCATATGTTAAAAATGTTTCAATTGATTTGTCCAGTGTTACAACTATTAACTGGGTTGCAGATTTATTATTTATTAATTCTTTGTGTGTGGTGTATTTATTTTTAAAATCTGACCTCTGGAAATGTTTTGTTCTAGTCCAAACTCCTGGAAAGAGAATTGAATCCATATTGGAAGGATGGTGGGACAGGTCTTCCCCCAGAAGACTGTAGTGTGTCATCGATTACTAAAGGTATTCCTATATTTTGATTATAGATATAGAAACAGATGTTTCTTAAAACTTGGTATTTCTAAAGGAAAAACCTGAGTTTACATGCGATAAAACATTGATAAAATATTTGCCATCTTTTAAAGCCTTATTTAAATTGTTACTACTTTGGAAGATTGTTTTAATTATGATGTATTAGGGAAAAAAGTTGATTAAATACTTATTTTTGTACTTGATGATATTCTCATTTGTAAGTTTCTGTTTAAAATGGATTAAAATAAAACATGGTTCTGTAAAGATGCAAATAATGCATTTGGTTTGTTACATTCTGTGACAAAATGTAAAAAGTACTAAGTCTGTGACATTTCATGAAAATAATGTGTAAACTTTGGAGATGTGGTTCATCTCTTCAGAAATTCCCACTTCGCTAGCATTCATCAGATTTGTATTGACCCTAATTAGGAAAGTGCTGCTAATTTCCAGCAGATGGAGACAAAATGTTTGTGCCATGTAAGCATACTTCATAACATAATTTCAAAAGTGTTCACATGCCCATGCAGTGCTGCCTTGATGTCTCCCTGAAAGTTCAGTTTCAGTTCACCCAGCATATGGGTACTAGTGTTATAAAGTACATGGGACGTTTTCATCTTGGTGATTCTTCAGTACGATGTTCTCTTGCTTTTGATATATAGTTTATTTCTATTTTAGATATTTGATAAAATTCATTTATATTTTATATAGAGATGTCCCTAGAACCATCTTACAGGTTCTTTATAATTTCATCTAGCAGTTTTACTGAAGTTATTAGTAATTGCAGCAGTTTCTCTTTTGCCTTTCAGCATGGGCAGAAGTGTTTCTGTTGAGTTATGTAATAATAACTATAGTCCCACAAGGTTCTCCTTGCAATAATTGCTTCACAGAAACTTAAAAAAAAGTTTGAGGAGGAATGAGTTAGCTCAGTGAATCAGTCATTCCTACGGAGGGTGAATTTTGTGATCCAGGCTTTTTACCCTCCTTCCCCCATTTTCAGAGAATAGTCAATCAACTTATCCTACTTAGAAATGATAAACCCAGTTTTTGGACATTTTCAGTTGCAGATTCCTAACATCACTGAGTAAAGAAGACCTGGAATTCTACCTTAGGGGGTATCTTTTTTTTTTTTTTTTTCAGTTTTTGGCCAGGGCTGGGTTTGAACCCGCCACTGCCACCTCTGGCATATGGAGCCGGCACCCTACTCATTTGAGCCACAGGCACCACCCATTAGGGGTTATCTTTTAGCTGCCTGGAATAGCAAAGTCAGAGAGACTGGGGAAAATGACTTTCCATAAAGCTTTTTTTTTTACATTATTTATTTTTTTGAGACAGAGTCTCACTTTGTCACCCTTGGTAGAGTGCTGTGGCATCACAGCTCACAGCAGCCTCTAGCTTTTGGGCCTAGGCTCTTCTCTTGCCTCAGCCTCCCGAGTAGCTGGGACTACAGGAAGGCTTGCAGATAGTCCTCCTTTACTGATCATAGCATTCTTCCATCACTTCCTTTTCTCATATTACATTTATTCTGGAGGAAGAAAAATGACAGAAAAATGACAGCAGCTTAGATCCTGGAGTTGAAATTAAGTTTTACAAAATGACCAGGTTTTACCGTGCGTGCAGGTGCTGTTACCGTTCTGTTTAGACTGTGGTGGCACCGAATCTGCAAGGCCTCCAGGGAGTTATGATGCCGGCCCTAAGGAGGGGAGGGTGGCACAGTGTTGTTAAGGACTCAGACTTTGGGGTCAGTCTGCTTGGGATTCGAATTTTGGTATTTCTACTTTTTACCCCCGTGATTGTGGGAAAATTTCCTGATCGCTGTGAGCCCTATTTATTCATGTGCAATAGGGGGTAATGGTAGTACCCAGCATTATGTGTAGTTAAAACTAGAATTTTTTTTTAGCATAGTATGTAGAATACAATGAATACTTAATGATGATGATGTCAAATACTTCTGTGATTATATGTTTTGGGAAGGTTTTATCAACATTTTTTTGGTAATGATTGAGGTGTCATATTTTCAATAATTAATTCACTAATCTCGATTTTTTTCCTTAGAGAAAATTAGGTGGAAAAGTAAGAAAATTATTTTCTGAGCCAATACAAAATTATTTTAAATCACATTTTAGTAGTGGAAATATTTGTACAGTTTTAGAGTTTTTACATAGCACATTTATATATCAACTTATTTTCATAGCAGCTGTGTGAAGAGAGCAGAGTAGATGTTATTCTGATCTTTATAGCTTAGGAAAGGCTTAAACTGGCCAGGCAAGCTTTTCAAGGTCATGCAACTAGAAGTAGAATCCAGATCCTCTGACGCCTAGTCCAGGGTTAGTTACCCGGGTTCCTTAGTAGAAGACTGTATTTCTTACCATAATAATTAGTAGAAATTCTTGCTTGAGCCCGTTTTGATGTGATTTTATTCTTCCTGTTGATTTTTCCCTGTGTTTATTTTTTGGCTAGAATATTTGAGGAGTAAGGACTTTCACAGGTGTTTAGATCAGATACCTTATTTTACAGATGAGGAAGCAAAAGTCCAAAGAAGTTAATGACATGCTTCAGATCTTACCACTCTGTAGTAGTAGCAGGAAGACTGAAATCTAGGTCTCCTGCCAGTGAATTTGGTATAATTACTTAATATAGCTTTATCTCAGCATAGAGGACTTGGGACCCTGCCATATTCATGTTTTTACTTCTTACTGTGTTTATTAACAAGTTTTCTTATTCATAGTAAGTATTCATTAAATGTTTGTTAATTGAATTTCAGGATAGTACTGCAAATTGGTATTTTTGTTTCCTTTTTATATATTAAATTTGGTGATTTTTAAAATTAAAAATACTTCATTATTATCATCTAACTATAAAATTAATAGGACTATTGAAATAGAACATGTTAACAACTAAAGGTGACTTATATAAATATTTCTAAAGATGTAAATTTCACTTGTGACTGAATTGGCTGAAATTTTTACTTCAGTAAGATTTCCTTCGTAAATGTTAATATAGAGGAATAAAAGCAGTCTTATTTTTCCTGTTAGTTTTTTTTTCCGCTGAGCCATGTTAATATCTTGGTGACTGTTAGGAACATTTTGCTGTGCCCATCAGCATTTTATCAGTGTCACAGATGCTTCTGTGGAGTAAACAATTTAGTTAAATGGCTGCTACATTAATGTAGGAGGCATTTATTACTCTGGGTTTCCATTACTCACCACTGTGTAGATTGCAGATTTAGACTAAGTTCCTTGGGTGGTTGCACTATTAATTTTGAACTCAGACTATATAAATAAGAAAAAAAGAGCAAAAGTAAATAAAATAAGCTTTTGAATGAAAAGAGAAATCATTGGATTAACTAGAGATCTTTGTTTGAAGTGTAAAATATTTAGACCTGTAGAGCAAGGCCACTTTATATTGGAAAAGATTGCTTGGTAAAGATAACTTTGGAGATTCGAATGTGAGAATAGAATTAATTTGTGTAGAATTAGTTTGAGGATTGAAAAATCTGTACTTTAAGTAAACTTTGTTGAAATCTGACGTACACGAGCTGTGTGCGTCCAGCAGACTGATCATTTGTTTTCACATAGTGAAAGCCGCTCTGTAATCAGCACAGTTTGAGAAGCAGCACTGATAGAAGTCCCCTTTGTGGCCCTTCTAGTCAGTGTCCAGTCATGAAAAGGGTGACCACTATCCTGGTTTCTGTCATAATTCTGAAAATCAGTGCTGTCCTCCTTGGTTTCTGCCTCCTGTCCGCGTTTTGAAATTCACCTGTGGTGTTGTGTGCAGTTGCAGTTTCTTGATTCTTCTTGCTGTATAACTGTATCTTATTAATAGGAATCTATCTCCATCTGCGGGTCTCTTTTAAGGATACTGAATATTTCCTAGGTTGTTTTCAGACTGGGATAATTACAGATTGTTCTCCTGTGGATATCGTTGTACATGTCTTTTGGGGTCTACAGATGTGCATTTTGGTTCCTGAGCTGGGGTGATTTTACAACAGCTTTATTTTGGGGCAAGGAATATCAGACAGAATTTTGATTTAAGTAATTAATTTGATTTCCTCTTTGTCCATATTAAAAGTATCTTGTGTTTAGAAGGAAATAAAACCAGTTTAATAAAGTTTGTTGAAGGTATTCAGATGTTCCTAGTGAGTAATCATGACTAAAGTAGGATAATTTGTTTAAAAGTCTGTTTTAGCATTATCTTCTATAACTTCTTTGTTTTGTATGCTGCATCTGAGCTAGCTTTTTCCTTTCCTATATATGTGCCTTTATTCCTTGTTTATTTCTGGGCATGTCTCCCTACTCTTCCCTTGTGTTGAGTCTGGTTTGTGGAATTCTCCCTGACCTCCCAGTTAGAAATAATCTTTTACTTTCCTCATTTTCTGTAACCCTTTCTTTTCATATAGTTGCCGTGTATTATCTTTTTTGTAATTATATCCTTTTATCTCATTTTCCTAGATTGAAGAAAATTTATCTTTTCCTTCTTCATAGTGGCAAAACTCTAGCTTGCCTATATAGGCACTCAAATATAGGTCAAATTTTTTAAATGCACTTCTGATTTTTATATATTTAGAGAAAAATACTTAGTTTTATACATTAGACATCAGCATAGAAGCAATATTTGATGAGAACCACAATAAAAGTATAACTAACATTTACATTGGAATTTAGTTTCAGTGGTAGAAGACGGTGGATTGAGCTGGCTCAGGAAGTCTTACCAAAGAATGAAGGAACAAGCTGAGAAACAAAACAGAAAGTTTGAGGATGTTGTAGCTGAAAGATACGGGGTGAGTATCTACATTAAGGGGATACGTCTTTTCAGAGTTATGTGGAAAACTAAGTGCCGTTAATTTTGTGTCAGGAAACTTTTTTGAATTGAATTGACAATAAATTTCATATCGTTATGTTGCTGAAATAATTTTCTACCTTTTATTATTATGTGAATTTATGTATCATGTTTTTATCGACATCATGTAAAATTTATGTATAGAAAGGTTAAGTATGTGTGTTTAACGTAAAAATAACATTTTCTCATTGTGAGAAAATTTAAACAATGCAGAAAAACCTACATACTACACCTCTAGAAATAATCACTGTTATAATTTTGGTATATTCCAGACTTTGGTATATTTTTAGAATTTTGGTATTTTTAGATTTCTTAAAAAGAGAGAGAGAGTGTGTGTACACTCTTAAAACAGTGGAGGCAGAGCCAGAGAGCGTACCTGTGTGTCTGTGTGCATTCTTAAAACAGTGGCGTGAAGCAGCGGCGTGTGGTGCGCTAGCACCTGTTCTTCCGTTCACCATGTGTGGACACTCTTTTCCAGCAGTTATTGATGGTCCCTTTTTTGTTTCTCTTTCTTCAATTTCCAGAGGAAAGTAGGCTTAGAAAGTAGAAGATTTTAAAACTACAGGCATGTGAAAAACAAAAAGAAGGAAGTAAAAAAATCATCTGTCATCCTAAGAGAATCGTTGTTAACATTCTTTCTGGAATATAGTTTTCCAGACTATTTTTTCTCTGTATTTTAAAGCAGGCTCACAGAATATACCCTGTTTCTTTTACTTACGCTATAAGCATAGTTGGATGCTAGTAAATACATACATTTTAATGTGCTCTCGGCAGTGTATATCCATGTGGTTTTCTGTTACTTCTTGTCAGTGAATGGACATTTATATGCTTTCCCCTTTTCCTGTTAAATTGCACTGTGCTATCTTTGTCCAGTGTATTTTACATATTTATCTGGTTTTTAAGGTGAATTACTAAAAGTGAAATTGCTCTTATTAATTTTGTTGGGAGGGGATTTAAAAGTTATTTTATTGACTAATTTGAGTCTGGTTACAATGAGAAGAAAAAGGTTTAATATGTAAAGCAATGAATGAAAAAAAATCTTAAGCCATTAGTGAATACAAATCCACCACAAAATTGCTTTTAAACAGACATTCCTTTCTTTTTTTATTTTTATTTTGTTCAAGCAGAGTCTTAGTCTATTGCGCATGCTAAAGTGCCCTGGCCTCAGCCTAGCAGACAGCAACCTCAGACTCCTGGGCTCAAGTAATCCTCCTGCCTCAGCCTCCCAGGTAGCTGGGACTGGCTAGTTTTTCTATTTTTAGTAGAGATAGGGGTCTTATGTTATCAGGCTAGTCTCGAACTGCTGAGCTCAAGGGATACTCCCACCTTGGCCTCCCAGAGTACTAGGATTATAGGCTGAGTCACTGTACCTGGCCTAAATAGACATTTAAAGTGGGATATGTGTTGCCAAATTTCACTACAGAATGATTGAACAAATCATTCATACTAAAAAGTATATTTTATCACATAATTTTTAATAGTAAGATTATCATTCTCTATAGTCTATGCTGTTGTGATTGGTAATCTTTTTTTTTGCTTTTATTTTTAATGCATTTGTTTGCTAGTGAATTGGAATCTTTTCACATTTATTTTGGCCATTTGTTTTTGTTTGTTCATTTTTTTTTTTGTGAATTGAACCTTGATGTTATTTTTCCATTTTTCTTTTGGGATTTGCTTAAGGCTTTTTAACAAATCTGTTTCAATTTTTTCTCCTTAGCTTTGTGTTTTGTTTATTTTTACTTTGTTGATAATTTGCTATAGGCAAGTTTTTATTTTTTTTATTTTTTTAAGAAACAGAGTCTCACTTTGTCGCTCTTGAGTGCTGTGGCATCACAGCTCACAGCAACCTCCAGCTCCTGGGCTTAGGAGATTCTCTTGCCTCAGCCTCCTGAGTAGATGGGACTACAGGCGCCCACCACAACGCCTGGCTATTTTATTTTTTTTGTTGTTGCAGTTTGGCTGGGCTGGGTTCTAATCCGCCAACCTCGGTATATGGGGCCAGTGCTCTACTCACTGAGCCACAGGTGCTGCCCTGGCAAGTTTTAAATATTTTTACTTTGGAAAATCCCTCAGATGGTTCTTTCATAGCTCTTGGTGTGATTGATTGACAGGCTTAGCTAATCCCCAAAGTCATGAAAATCTGTGTCTGTATTTCCTTTGAGTACTTGTTTGGTTTTAATTTTTATGCTTATCTTTAGTCTTTCTGCAGTATTTATTTGTATATGGCATGAAATAGGTATCTAACTTTCTTTACAGTTTTAGATGGCTATTTATAGCATATTGAGTGACTTGTTCTTTTCCAATGGATTTGAAATGGCACATTTATTATACATTAAATTTTCTTAAAAGCATGGGTCTATTTTTTTACTTTCAGATCTGTTTCATTGGTTTTTCTGTTTTTGCCTTGGAATTAGTCTCATCAGTTATAATTATTGTAGTTTTTAGTAATTTCTACAGATAGCAAATAATTATTAGTACCTACCATGTGGCAGGGTAAGTCTTACTAGTCATTAAAATATTAAGTTTATGTGGTTTTTTCCTTTTTAAATTTAGAGTTATTTTGTAAATTTAAAGCTCAACAAAAATAAACAATTTTTCTTATAAATGCATTTTAAATTTACTACTCTCTTTGGAATTTTGATTTAAATTTAATTAAATATATAGACAAATCAAGGGTAACTAATATGTTGTTTTAATGTTAAGTTAGTGAACCTTATGTTGACTTAATACTGAGTCGTCTCAACCTAAAACATTACATATTTCTCTATTTGAGTTTTCATTTATGCTGTTTAGTAGTTTTTTCTGTGTAGCTATCATACATGTGTCATAGAGGTTATTTTTATGTGTTTCATTTATAAATCCTATTTTAAAAAAATATTTTGTGACTGGCTGTTGGTGTTTGTCAATTTTTAATTATACATATTATACATATTTATTAATATACATATTTTAATTATACATATTTTTAATTTTTGTTTTTTTGAGATGGGGGGTCTCACTCTTGCTCAGGCTGGTCTCGAACTCCTGAGCTCAGGCAATTTGCCCACCTCAGCCTCCCAGTGTCCTGGAATTACAGGCATAAGCCACCATGCTGGCCTTATATATATTTTTAAAATTTGAGTTATCTGAGAGGGTAGTTATATGTAAATTATGATTATTTTGCCCTTGATGTTTAAATATTTAAATTTTCTTTTCTTCTTGAAATAGTTAGAATTTTAGAACTTTAATAAGGGGATTGGAGGCTATTATAGTAATCTTTCCGTATTTAAATGATGACTTCCTGCATTTGAGATGAAGATTGTCATATTAAAATAAAGTATCCTCACATCAAAGTTTACTAAGAGGTACTTTTTTGCCTGTGTTTTATTTTTTAAGTTTTAATTTTTATATTGTACATATTAAGATATGTAACATGATATTTTGATACATATGTGCTATATGTATAGTGAAATGATTACTATGGTCGAGCAAATTATGTATCATTTATCTTACATGGTTATCTTTTTCTCATGGTAAAAGTACCTAAAATCTATTCTCTCAGCAGATTTTCATCTGTAATACGTTATTAAGTGCCGTCCTCTTGCTGCCACTGACACTCTGTACTCTTTGTTTTCTGTCTTCCCAGTTCTCCTGCCCCTGTGACCACCTTTCTGTTCTCTGTTCTTAGGTATCAGGTTTTCAAAGAAAAGTCCTTGACATTGTATTTAACTTTGCAACCTCACGAACAGTTATTTGGACTTAACCGTTACATTTGACATTTGGTGTATGGCATATTTTTTTGTCTAATTCATATATGGTTTGGCTTAATCATCTTTTATGTAATTTTTTCTGTACAGAATTACTAAGTGATATGTCTTCTGATTGCTTACATTTTTGAACATAATTTTCTTTTGCCCACTCTAGGGAATGATAATTTGTGAATTGACTTCTTTTTTTATTTGTTTGTTTGTTTTGAGACAGAGTCGCCCTTGGTACAGTGCCATGGTGTCACAGCTCACAGCAACCTTAAACTCTTGGGCTTAAGTGATTTTCTAACCTCTGCCTCCCAAGTAGCTGGGCCTGCAGGTGCCTGCCACAATGCCTGGCTATTTTTTGCGTATAGTTGTCATTGTTGTTTGGCAGGCCTGGGCTGGATTCAAACCTGCCAGTTTCAGTGTATGTGGCTGGCACCCTAGCCACTGAGCTACAGGCCCTGAGCCTGAATTCCTTGATTTTTTTTTTTTTTTTTTAATCTAAGAAACAAGCCTTGCTGTGTTGCTCAGGCTGGAAGATAGGTAATCCTTCCACCTCAGTCTCCCAAGTAGCTTGAACTACAGCTGTGTACCACCAGGCTGGCTTGAATTCTTTGTATAGAATTAATTGTAGCCTAATGATTTTTTTCAAAATGTGGTCTTTATTCCATTGTTCATTTAGTAATATAGATGAAAAGCTGATAACAATCTTTAATTTGTGGGTGATGTGTTATTTACCTACCTCCATCCATACACTCTCACACTTGCTCCTTCTTAAGCCAGTCTTTGTGAAGGATTTTTTTCTTTTTAAGTTTTCAGATTCAGGGCTTAGCGTTTTCTTCCTGTGTAAGTTTTTGGTCACTTCCTTTGCCCCCAAGGCTGTTGGATGAGCCCTCCTGATCTGGAAAATCTTTTTTTGACATATTTTTTTTTATTAATGCTTTTCTCTCATCATCTTTGCTGCTTTGTGGAAGTATTAACTCATGCATCTTAGCGTCTCTAGAATCAGTTAGTTGTTCATGTGACTTTTTTCTTGTACTTATTTTCTATCTTTATTCCTACAGTATAGAGAATTCCCAAGATAATTTAGTTTTCCGCACTTTCTGTTCGATGTGTCTAGGCAATTTTTTTGACATCAGGTTTTTATTTACAAGTCTTTCTCTTTTTTTTTTCATGAAAGTCTGTTACATTTAGCAATATGGTAACTTCCTGAATCTCACTACCAATAGGATTTAGTTTTTTTAAAGTTTATGTCCCAGCCATTTTTTCTCTCCTTTCCTTTCTTTTTTTTCTTTTTGGAGATAGTCTCATGGGCTAGAGTGCAGTGATGTCATCATAGCTCACTGCAACCACAAACTCCTAGGCTTAAGTGATCCTCCTGGTTCAGCCTCCAAGTAGCCGGGACTACAGGTGTGTGCCACCATGTCCAGCTGATATTTTTAAATTTATTTTTTGTATAGACGAGATTTCACTATATTGTCCAGACTCATCATGAACTCCTGGCCTCAAGCAGTCCTCCTGCCTTGGCCTCCCAAAGTGCTTGATTATAGGCATGAGCTGCCATCCGGCTCCTGCTTTTTCTGTTTCATAGTTTGTATTAATGCAGAGCATTTGGCCTAAGTGGCTATCTTTTGGGATTTTTTTATTTAGTAATTTTGCATCATTCACTCATATTTATTTCAGGTTGGGATGGTTGTATAGATCTCCCCTTACCTTGTGGTGGAGATTTTATTGTGGGTTATGGTACAGTGGCATTTGGGGGCCAAATCACTGAGCTTTTCTTAATATTAAATATTTAAAAAACTTTTCCTTCTTCGTAGTCAATGGAAATATTTCAGTCGAAATTAGAAGCAGCTGAAAAAACTGTATCTACAAAAGAAGATTATAGACAAGAACGGTGGAGGAAACCAGCATTTTCAGATAAAGCACAAAATAGTCAAGAAAGTAGAAAATCAGACTTAGTAAAATATAGCAGTTCAAGGGATAGATACGCTGCAGTGGATATTACAGACAGCGATAAAGGGGAGTTTCGTGGTGATGAAAAAGATAAGAAATCTGAATCTTTAGAAACATGCAGAAGAGAGTCCAACCCACGGCAAAATCGAGAGTTTTCTTCCCTTGGAAATCTGAGACCTAAGTTTTTAAGGCCCTCTGATGATGATGGACTATCGTATCACAGCAGGGGCAGACATTTTGAACCGTCTAGTTCATCTTCAGCATTGGTAGCTCGGGGTTCTTCGCGTTGTGGTTTTCGAAAACCTACTGAGATGAGTGAAGAACGTTTAACATCCTGGAGTCAGTCTGATGGGACAGGGGACAGGAAACATGCAAATGAAAAGCCGTTGGGAACCAGTAGCAGTGTTGGACACCAGCACATTCCAGAAGATGTGAGAGAGAAATCACAAGTCAAAAGCTCGAGAGATGACCCTCCAAGAAAAGAAGATGCCAAGTCCACGTCTGCGAGGTATTCTCTCATTTGTTTTTTAACCTGATGAATAGATGCTAAAGTCCAGAGGATTCAAAGAACTGAGTATACTTTTTGTAGGACATCAGTTATTAGATAACAACTATGGTCTCCCATTTCTTGAAATTCATTGAAGAGGTAAGATATGCAGATTTAATGATGTAGTAGTATTGTTTAATGGATTGCATCTTATTTCACAGTTTGATTTAAAAAAGAGAAGAATTTAATAGCTATCTTTGCTCATAATTTGTTGCTTTATTGTAATTTAAAAGACTGAACAACTTAAGCTTTTAAATGGCTGTACTGTCAGAAATATTTTGGTGCATTTTGCTACCAACGCCTTATTACGTCCTCTTATTTTTAGGTATAATCATATTTATAAATATTGCACGTCTAGAAAAGGTCTGAGAGAAATGGGAAAATGGGAAAAATGCTGCCATAGCTCAGATATGAAGTGACAGAGATGTGCAAAGATCCTGCGGAGGGAAGCATAAATTATGATTGTTTTGCAAAGAAAGAAATTATCCAGTTTGGACAATTGACAGATTTTAAAGATAATGTTAGTTTTAAATGAAAAATAAAGCAAAATAGTGGTTGTACCTGCAATGGTTAGGAAAATAATAATTTTGTTATTGTTATATCTGTTGCACTTATGTAAGATTAGGTTCGAAGAGGGAGAGACCCAGAGTGGGATCAAACCAGTGAAAACTTGATTGAGCTATGGGGCTGGCCCTGTTGAAGATAGCCAGAAATAAAAATGTGTCTAAAGGATAATGACAAACTTACACATGAATGCTTGTTAAAAGATGCCACCAAGGGAGTGGCGTATAAAGGAGGAAGTTTTAGGAAATAATAGACGTCAGTGAGGGAGGTAGTAGATGTGAGCACTGTGGTCGGGGTTGTGAGTCTGTTTGTCAATGACCCCTTTGGAAGCAGTGGATTATGAAGCACAGTGTGTAATTTTCCATGGGAGGGAGCTGGCAAAATGTGAACTGAATGATTGAGCCCCTTCAGGTCAGGGTGTTGCTCCCTGCAAACTGAAGGAGAAGTCCAGGTGTAGTGGCTGAATGCACATGCCAGGGATCAGTGGATGAGGCCGGCACGCATGTAATCGTCCAGGCTTCACTCCAGGTGCCCTGACTGGTAGACTAATCCAGGTGCCCAGTTGCTAGTGTGATGGGACTTTGATTTCCTGCTATTATTAGGGTTGAGTTAGCATTTCCAGGCATCCTCAAACTACGGCCCGCGGGCCACATGCAGCCCGCCTAGGACATTTATCCGGCCTGCTGGGTGTTTTTGCCACTGCTGCCTGTCCTGCTTAGCAGCTGACTCATCCCGGGGCCTGTAGTCCGGCCCTCCAATGGTCTGAGGGACAGTGAACTGGCCCCCTGTTTAAAAAGTTTGAGCACCCCTCACCATCAGTAGATCTTGACTTTTGTGACTATAGGTAAGCAGAGTATTCAAAGTAATCTTACACTATTAGTATTCCATCTGGTTGTCTAATTGCTTCATATTTGTGTATCTTATTTAAATTATAACCTTTTGATAGACACACTGTAATACAGGCACTTACTAAAAGCTGTGTGTGTGTGTTTTACTTTTTATCTGAAGACAGTGTTCTTTGTAATTTCAATGTTAGAGTTTGAGGCTTTCTGTGAATTTCATGACTGGAGAGGGAAAGACAAATTGAGGAAATATATATTTATATCTACACACACACATACACACATACAAACACACTCACACGTATAAAAGAAAAAAGAAAAGGCTCTGGAGCATGTTGAGAGATCAAGATAGGACCTTGAAGAATGTCCAGAAAAACTCAGTGAAAGTTTGTTAGAAGCTGTTAATTTGTCTGAACATTATTCTGGGAGTATGTTGAATTTTTTTATATAATTCTAGAATTCTTGGGAGTTTTAGAACGATTGAATTTTAGGTATGGAAAAAAATCATAGAAGTGATTTAAAACTGCAAGAATTCATAATCTGACACATGCATGTTGCAGTTGAGAGAAACTAGAGAACTGAGGGTGTGACTTGCATGATGTGACTTGACTTAAGTGAGGTTTCAGATTTTTAAATAAAAAATAGTAACTGTCTTGCAATATTTGGGCAAACTTATGCTAAAAAAATTTCTTGTTTACCTGAAATTTAAGTTTGACTGGGTATCATGTATTTTATTAGGCAAGCTTGTATGTAACATGTAACCATTTCCTAGGTCTATTGCTTTTCACAAGAGTTGATACTGATCTCTCTGTGCTTTAGTTTCCTTATCTTAAAACAGGGATATTAACATGTTTACTTTATGAGATTGTTGTGAATTAAATATATAGGAAAATATTTATATATTTGAGACAGAATCTTACTTTGTCACTCTTGGTAGAGTGCTGTAGCATCATAGCTCACAGCAACCTCAAACTCCTGGGCTTAAACAATTCTCTTGCCTTAGCCCCCTGAGTAGCTGGGACTACAGGTGCCTGCCACAATGCCTGGCTATTTTTAGAGGTGGGATCTTGTTCTTGCTCAGGCTGGTCTTGAACTCCTAAGCTCAGAAAGTCCACCCAGCTCAGCCTCCCAGAGTGCTAGGATTATAGGTGTGAGCCACTGCATCTAGCATGAAAAACTTAGAATGTTATCTGACACAGAGTATGTATTCTGTAAATCTTAGCTATTGTTGTTGCTATTAATACTATAATATAGGCAGGTGTTTGGAGAGCGTAGATTGATTTCATGTCTTTCATTGCCTTTTTTAGCATGCTTTCAAATAAGGTTGAAAGGAGACCCACAGTTGGCTTTGTAAGAAAAACTCTGTTATATAATAATTATGGAAAAGTTATTGATACCTTTTGTGAGAGTAATTTAGATAGAATATGAGAAAAGTTGACTAGAGGTAAAAGAGAGAGAAAAAAAGATACATAAACAATAGGAAGTCAAGAATTTTCAGTTGAAGACTAGAAAATACCCCTTGTCTGTTCTAAAATGGAAACTGGAGTGTACATAGGTCAGTTTGCCAGACTCCGGAAAAGTTGGAACAACTAATATCTTTCTCTAATATGTAATGATTGGAAAATAGTGAAATTGGCTTTATTTCTCTATGTTTATGGTTTATGTATGTTTACCTTTGTTGCTTTTACCTTCATATTATTTTGTGAAACATTAAGCCATTTGAAATCATGTGAATAATAATGTAACTGTATAAGATTTAAACAGTACAGACTGAAGAGTACAAAGCAAGAACATAAAACTCAAATAGAAGGTATCAAAAGGAAGAGTCTCCGACATTGTCGGCCCAACCCGAACCCACTCGCCAGGTGGACAATGTTGATGATGTCTTTTCAGACTTTTTAAAGTGCACTTGAATATGTGTAATATGTATATTTACCCTAATATATGAAATTACATATAGATAATGTGCGTATGTTAAATAACTTTATGATGTGTATACTGTTCTGAATGTTTTTTCCAGTCAACATATCTTAAAGATCTTTTCATGTGAGCATGTATGTACTTCCCTTTTTGATTTTAAAGGCTTTTTAATATTCTGTTATAAAAGTTAGGTATAGCCTAATATTTTTTACAAGTCTCCTATGGATGGATTTTGGTTCTTGCTAGGTTGTTGCTCTTACAAACAGTGCTGCAGAGAAGTTTTTTTTTTTTTTTTTGAGACAGAGTCTCACTATGTTGCCCTTGGTAGAGTGCTGTGGCATCACAGCTCACAGCAACCTCAAACTCTTGGGCTTAAGCGATTCTCTTGCCTCAGCTTCCTAAGTAGCTGGGACTACAGGGCCCCCACAACACCTGGCTATTTGTTGTGGTTGTCATTGTTGTTTGGCAGACCTGGGCTGGGTTCGAACCGGCACCCTAGCTGCTGAGCTATGGGCCCCAAGCCTACAGTAAAGCTTTTATGTGTCTCTTTAAACACTATGCACATATAATGGTAAAGTTATTGCCAAGGAGTGGAATTGCCAGGCCAAAGAGAACATGCCCTTTTTATAGATTTTGTGGTATTAACCCATTTGCTCTCTTACAGTCAAACATGAGAACGACTTTCTCCTTGCCAGTAGCATTACTGAGCTTTTAACAAATCTTTGCCACGTATGTAGCTGAGAAACAGATTCTTTGTTTTCTATTTCTTTTAGTATGGAGGAAATTGGTCATATTTTTGTAAGTGTTACTTTTTTGGTAACTAGTCACATGTTTTGCCTACTTTTTGAGTGGTCCTTTATTTGTGAGAATTCTTTGTATTTGTCATGTAATAAAATAGTTCATATTTAATTTTCCCTGTTCCTCCTTCTTTTTTTATCCATTCTTTCATTCTTTCCTTAATGTGATAAGATTTTTCATTATTTTTTTCTTGTTTTTTTTAGGCTTTGTGATGATCTTAACTAGCAAAAAGAATCCACCAGCAGGGGCCTCTGTGGTTAAGAACTTTAAGCTTATTAGTGTTAGAGATGAAATGTGCTTTTGTGTATGTTTTTCTTTTGCTGGCTAAGTACTTTTAGGAATTTGAAACCTAGAGTAGTATGTTACATAAACAGAAATTGCTGTGATAGGCTTATATTCTATAAATTCAATACCAGAAACTAACTTATTTTGTAAAGTATTTTAATCTTTTGGTGTCATTCTTGGCAGAGTTTGTTTTTGTTAGCCCAGAAGGGCAACAGAAGGATGCCAGGTTGTGAAGGCTCTGAATGTAGTCATGAGATCCTTAGGTGAGGGACCAAATCAGGGAGCAAGTGGTAAGAAAAGAATAATTAAGTGGGATCTGTGAACACTGCCGGCAGGAGAAATTATATAATACAGTATGTGTTGCTTAACAGTGGGGCTACGTTCTAAGAAATTGTCGTTAGGCAGCGACATGGTTGTGTGCACCTCACAGAGTCACCCACACAAGCCGCCATGCTGCAGCTGACTGCACCGAGGCCAGAAGCAGGAGCATGTTACTGTCCTGAAAACTGGGGGCAGTTTATAACACAGTGATAAGTACGTGTGCATCAGGCA